CATCACAGAAACGACTCAGGTTCCCGCTATAACTACAGATGAGACTACCGACCCTTCTGAGCCTATAACCATCACAGAAACGACCCAGGTTCCTGATATACCATCGGAAGATCATTCCAAGAGTGATATTAAAAAACATCGAGCAAAAAGATATAATAGAAGCTATTAACTTGAGCATAATATCAATTGTTAACTTTTTTGTTTGTCACCTTCCGAGATTAAAGAAATTATATAATTTATTAACAAAAACAAGTTTCTTGACCAGAAAAAACGTATAAGGGCTCAAACTTTATCGAGCCGACAAATAGGTCCGCTGTATACCATTCCGATATCCACTTTTGGACCAAACATATCTCGGATGTTATCTATGCCATATCTTATCATGGTAGGTCTAAAAAAATATCTCTAATTGAAGTTTTCCTTCGATAAAAACCTCTCTAGAGAAAGTCCATATCCAGCAACGTTGACATCAGCAGGAAGACCCATGGGTAAAAGCATTTCTGGTCGGAACATACCAGAGTTTCCTATCTCCACCCATTTCTTCAATCCTTTGTGATAAGCGAAAATTTCCATAGAAGGTTCAGTGTAAGGATTGTATGCGGGCTTGAAGCGGAGATCATCAATACCTGGAAATAGAATATCGAATTATACACAAAAGTAGGATAAACCTAGTTTCTTGAAGAACTCGGTAAAAACGCCTATGAGATGTGCAAGACTCAAATTTCTATCAGCAATAACTCCTTCCACTTGATGAAATTCAGCAAGATGTGTAGCATCAAGTGTCTCATTACGGAAAACTCGATCAATCGAGAAAAGTTTAGCTGGTTTGAATTCATCTTGCTGTGCGAGTTGATAAAGAACGCGAGCAGAGACCGCAGTTGTATGAGTACGCAACACATTTTTTTGAGCTTCTTCTAACTTCCAATCATATTTATACCCAATTGAACCATAACCACCCTCCGAATGAACTTTCTTAACCCTTTCCAAATAGTCTTGAGGGAATTCAGTACTTTTAGCTGGGCCTACAAAAAAACGATGAACGAATATCGGAATCAGATCAACTCACTTGACACGAAGAACGTGTCATGAGCATCTCGAGCAGGATGCTGTTGAGGTTGGAAAAGAGCGTCAAAGTTCCAGAAGGAACTTTCAACATACTTATTAGTAGGCATTTCAGAAAATCCCATTGAGAAAAAGATTTGTCGGAATTCAGATCGAACCTGAATAGCATTCACACATATACCGATAGTTGAGAAAAAACCTTGAGCAATGGATGCAAATGTCCACAGGATGGTTGAACACCCAGAGCCTCGAAATTATACTTTTTAAATGGTTTCGTTTTCCAAGCACCGCTGGAACATGTGACATATAACTTAGCTCAAGTTATTTTTACCTGGCAATCATTTCTGGGGTCAAGTCAACTTCTGGTTTCGCAAGTTCTGTTGTGAAATTTGGACCTTTGCTGACTTTGAGTCCTTTTACAGTACTGTAAGATTTTTTGATTAATTTGAACACTTCTTCGTTAACCTCTCAGTGAACAGTTTTCTCTTCTTCAAGTCTGTTTTAGCTTTCACATCAATATCTTTACCAATAGATAAGTCTTTCAATTGTTTTGAAACAATATCCTCCACTTTTTCCACCTTTCTCGTCTATAAAACTATCCATAAACCAAATATAACGGATGATACATACAACTTTGGGTTCCCCTCCTGACTTATCAATTGCGACCCATCCAGCAGCCAGAGCTTTACTCAAACCAACTTTTCCAAAAGCTTGTTTCTTCAACACACCGCGTATTTACTGAGAGAAAGTGGTCTAACCGAAATTTCAGACTGTGGTCTCCCCTCGTCGCCAATGAACTCAAAAACTTGAAACTCAAAAGATCCTTAAAAAACACATACGTTTCAGAACAACATATTCGCAAACCTCCTTCAGCCATAGCTTTGCCTTCTCCGCTCAGCTCTAAGTAAACTTCACTGATATCAGAAGTGTTGACAACCTTAATAAATCTTACTGTATTTGGAAAGCTTAAAAATGCAAAACCCCATCATGAGCTAAGATACTTTTGATTCCTCCAATGATTCTCTGATGATCAACTTGCCATTCTTTGGCTAATTTTATACTGTCGAACTCTCCGTTATCTGCTACAAACTTCAGAAGAAGTTGAGGCAAGTTTTCCAAATCAATAGAGGACATTTCTCAATCCGAAAATCCCAAAGTATGAGGATATTCTGATGAAGAACTCTACAAAAAATGATGATTATACGAGACAAAAACGGTCTATGGGAAAGAAGGGCTGAAAAACCTCACAACAACTAGTGATAAGAGATATGTAAAATTTTATTATTGTTTTTTTTGTGGAAAATTTCATGTAAAGGAGAAGCTGAAAATAACTGTAAAATCCTTTCGGAAGAATAAATATATAATATCTGACGTCTGTCTAAAAATAGTACGCATTACTCAGTTAATGGATGAGATGGAGGACAATTGATATACAACCCATATACATAGCTTTGGAGCCTCGTACAATTACCATAATACACACCTTAGCATTTCGATTTCCAAATTAATATCAGCTTTAAAATATATATAACAACCATACATTCTAATCAATAAACAAGTATTCTGTCAAGTCACTGCAGGGTGTATAAGCATTTCACAGTTTCTCCAAACGGAAGTGACGGATATTTTCTAAGAGCTTTCCATCACGGTCAATAGGATACTCTCCTTTTACTTCAGAGAAATAGTGCAAATGCCTGAAAAAAATATTCAGAAGCATTCAACGGCGAAGTCAACCTGCGGCTTCCTTTAGATTTTAGTGAATCATACAAGTCTATTTGTGTCAATATAGGGAGATAATCACATGTAAGATCTTTAAAAGAAAAAACGTTCACCGACTCCATCAATTTTCTGACTAGTTCAGCTTTCCGTGAAAAAGACCTATCTTCAAAAGGCTTAAATAGAGAAATTTGTTGCTGATGGTATAATTATCAACCAAACCATTAAACTTCCAATAATGGCAGGGTGTTCCTGTCTCTTGTCCTCGATGAAGCTATCATAATCCAAATAGACAGATGAGGGTACATAACCCAGATCGCGTTGATATTTCGGATATTCTCTATTAATCATGTCTAATGGTGCGCTCTGAATTGACTTTGAAAATGCAACCATCTTAATGTTCACTAACGGTATCAGCCATAGAAAATTGGAGTTCACTTAATAAAGCCCGAATATCTAATCTGATGTTGTTTCTACTGAATGCATTTTTGAGACTCTTCCATTTAAAGTAGCAGTCCGTCAATGCTAACACACAAACCTCAAAACGAAGATAAAAACAATCGTGAAACTACACGAACCGATGAATAATTCAAGATAGTAGCTTTCTCCATTTTAGGCAATCGAACTAGCTGATAAGGGATAGAAGGTTCTTTGCGTAACTCGTCAATAGGGAGTTTTGTGCATGTCCATATGACTGGTACTTTCGACTCGGATGCCAAGCTTTTCAAGGTAGGATAAAAATCTTTATCCAACTTTGGGAAATTGATGTCAACCTATAGCTTATGAGCGTTAGCAAAACTGTAGAACAACTTACATCTTCAACAACTATGATAGTTTTCTGTTTCTTAGCCTTTGGAGCAGTACTTTTAGTGAAGAAGGAAGATATGCTGTTAGAGAGCATCTATATTATCATTTAAATAAGTTGCGGAAAATTGGATTCTTACTCTCTGCGATTCTCCAGCCCCAGATAGTTTTTGTCGAAGAGAAGCAGCATTTCGGAAATCTCCTGTGTTGACTTCTAACAGTTTGCAGTTCAATTCAGAAGCGATCGCCGCAATCTGTCGATAAGCAAAAAGTTGAGAAATAAATTTTAAACTACCAGTGATGACTTTCCAGTTCCTGTGGCACCTTCAATGATCAGAGGATTCGCTCCGCAACCATCAGTGAAGTCATCCTCATAGTCAGAGTCACAATCATAAGACAGTCTCTTCTTTTTCATTTTTTCTTCAGCTTCTTCTAAACAGAACTTTATATCATAGTCATTTTTCACAGGAGAAACCTTTTTCTCCTCTCTTCAACCAATACTTCACGAACGTCTTAACTGTTTCTGCCTGAACTACAGAACCTAGCCAAACATCGGTTGTTTTAGGTCGAAGAGCTTCTGACCATGGCAATGACTTAGCTTCTTGACGGCACCGATATGCATGATCGTACCATTTTTTTTCTTGTGCTGTGAACCTAAGAAAATTGAACAGTAACTTGAATTCAGGTCTTACTGATCAATAACATCTGCTGTACATTCCGCCTTTGAGGCAAACACTGAAGAAATCGGTCGATCTTTTCGTAAAACTGGGAATTGCGATAAACTGTGAAGCTGGCTACGCATTTTTCGTTTAGCGTCTTCGGAGAGTGGAGAGCGTTCATCAGATAAACGGAGCTTAGTAAAATCCAAATGCCAGTTCTAGATTATTATTCATGAATACCGACATGTATGTTCTTACGTCATTTACTACAACTTCGAACGGAGCTGGAAGTACATTGAAAGAAGAAAACGGTGCGTGGTCAAACTCTCGTCTAAGGCATGCTGTTTTTGTACTATTAGCTATCGAAGGAAAGAAGCAAAGTTACCTGTCCTTCTGATATCTTTGCCAGACTCTAATGATTTCTGCACTTCCTCTCTTATGGATATATCATCTTTCAACAGGACCTTTTAAGTTAGTAGAATATGTACTTGAAACATGCAACTTACTGCATCGCGGAAAGAACCTGAGATATCTTCAGTGCTCGAGTCCAACTCGATTATAGCTTCCACCGGTTCGTCCTCAAAACGAAATAGTCATAACAGACCGAATTAAATGAATACCTCCTTGAAATCTCCTGAGCCCTGCATCTCTTCGGTTACTTCAGGAGAACAGCGTGTTTCCGAACTCGAGTTGTACGAGTCGGAAGCCGGGAAATATTCACTTGAACACTGTGAAGAAAGAGTATCACTCGTAGGATCATCCTGAACACAGAGATTGAGCTTTACTTCATTATGATAAAACTTATGTACCCTGAGGTTATCCTCAACATCAATTGAGCATTTCGACTTTTTTGCCCATAGGCTAATATCCCCCTGGAACAATTGCTAAACCTAGTTCATGAATTCTAACTGACTACTATGGACCGTTTCCTCGTTTTGTTTTTCTTCTTTCCTTCCTTTACTTCCATTTTTGGCACCTTTTTCGTTTTTTTAAAACTGTCAACTTCTTTTTCCTTGTGATCATCCTCTTTCTCAGAGTTAATAATCGTGATCTCCTCTATTTCTTCACAATAAATACTGAAACTAGGTTTAGTAACTGAATAGTGTTTATGTACTCACTTGAAAGATAAAGGTTTGAGATCATCGGCCTGATCACAAGATAATAACTGGAACGAAAATATTTCACATACCCAGGATATATAGAAACTCAACTCTTCTCATACTCTCAGGTGTTAATCGCAGATCATCGGCTGAACGCAAAGGCCTTGTCTGAACTTACATAAGTTTCATATATGAAAAAAACCTCTCACCTCTTTATTCTCATTATCATCCGAGTCTTCGGGCATTCGAACAACCCCATCTTTCTACAAGAATATCTTGAACTCTTTCTTATAAGTCAAACGAATTACCCATCCTTTCAGAGGATCAATTACTTGAATAGCACATTTATTAAAAAACTTTATAGATTTCAAATTCGTTGGCGGCTGAAGAGTATAAAGATATAGAAATGAAATGATATTCAGTCTCACCTTTGTTTTCGCACTTTTTCTCAATATAGGTTTGATATTGTCTGGCTTTTCCCCTACTTCTATCTGAATACACAATACGAAAATGATAATAAGAAGTTCGCAAACCTCAATTTTTTCAATAGAAACCTTTTTCTTAGGCAGTTCCAAAGGATGTTGGAAAAACTCAGGTTTCGATACTGAGCGACGTGGTCGGCCAGTACCTTGAGTGAACAGATCGAAAGGGACCTAGGAAGCATTTAACAACTATAGTACAAGCAATAAGCTCAACTGCGTTCTCTTTCTTTTGACTGATATCTTTTCCTTTGCTTTTTCCTTTTCCTTTAGGCCTCCCAACATTAGAGGCTCTGTCGAAGAGTATGTTGATTTTATTGAACATGGTTAACTTACTTCGTATTAATCAATTCCTTCCCCCCAATATCTTTATTCAATACTGTCTGTTGAAGCAAAGAAAATATTTACAATATGAAGATATAACAAACCTTTTCAGTTTCTGAAGTTGTGGAAGCCATTTTTAACCAATTAAACTTTCTAATGTTAATACTAATTATATAGATTATAAGAATTACATATGTTTTTATTAAAGGTATAGTAGGATATCGGCCTCCCCGCTATTATAATGCCATTTTGAATATTTCACGCATTGGCGCTCTATCTGCCTACCGTAATTCAAAAAAGAGACTTATGCTAATTGCGACATTAGAGCAGCTATACCATAAGGATTTTCCTTAAAAGTATTAGTATGATCATCTCCGAATAAATGCGGATCAACTATCTTTGTTTCAAATTGTACAAAGCCCAGATTTATCGAGAGATACCAAACTATTTAAGAATACCGCACTGAAAGATCAAATGTTCCCCAGTTCAAAAATTCCATTACATCAGAATATGAAAAATGTGTTTTATATTCAGTAATCATAAATTATTAAGTGACTGTCCCACGTTTCCTGAAGTATTGACACAGTCCAATCATTTCTTTGTTGACTTTTTCACGACAGAGATCGGAGGGAGGAATGCGAAGAGAACTCGAAAATGAGAGAAACTGCATGATGCTGAACGTCAAAAAGAGCTGGAATTGAGAGAGTATTTGAGGTGATGAGCTTACAAAGATATTCGACTTCATATATACGAAGACTGCCTTTCAGACTCACCGACGACGATTGAGAATGGCCGTGCGCCCTTACAACGGAGGACATTTCGAGGTGAGAATACTTTTAATCTTAAAATATCTACTTTTGTTTTTCTTCGCAGAAAATTGGATCAGAAGAAGAACATACTATCGAAACTTTTGAGAGGAAAATACATGGAACTCCTTTCAGTGAGGTAATGTTTTCACTTAACCCCTTTCACATATCCTAGTCAATAGCTCGAAATAGTGACAAATTATTTTCTTCATTATAGTAATACGATATTAATTAACATTTATTTTTATTTTCCAGCCTGAAAGACAATATTCCCGACAACAGTATACCGAGAGAAGAACATACGGAAGAGATGAAAATGGCGAAGTTGTTGTAAAAATTGAAAAAGATGTTAGTTTCTCAAATATTATTTTAATATTCCCCATGACGTCACAGTTCATCAAATTTTTGATGCAGAAACAAGTCCTAGAGTTATTTTGTTTTTCTCTGAAGTGGATCGGCTGGGGTTTCTGAACTGTTCTCCTTTTTCTATTTTGCTCCAAGGTTCTTCTTTGTTGTTACACACTCACAAATTGAAAATGCACCAAAATATCTTTGAGAAAATCCGGACCGAAAAATTCCTTCTATGTAGAGTGAAGCCATTTCCAGTTACAAGTGTTATAGTTCAAAGAATAGCTTGAAGAAGATAACTGGGTAGATTAAGCTTCACAACCCACTTGTCCTCGCATTTCAATGTTCATCGACAGAGCAAACATCTACCTATGTATGAAGCATTAAGCACACGTATTTCGCGTGTTAGCAACTAACTAGTTTCCTATGACTAACACACAAAACTTAAGTCTTTGTTAATTCTTATACTGATTTCTAAGACAGCTGGAACAACCAATCTCTTCATGAACTGAATGAAAAATGATTTTTACGCGTGACAGCGCCCACGTAAAACTCACGTGTATGTATGCTAATTAGCTGATCAGCGTGTTGCTATTGAGATATTTGTAGGATTAGAATTCGGCGATTAGTAGTTCCGGCTTTTCAGACATCTAATCCAACTGGCTCGGAAATCCTTAATCAAACAAAATAATTTCCGGAATAAACCAATTAAGATGAACAGAATTAGCAGATTTTGTATTTGAAGAGCGCCAGAACAATTTTTTAATTTTGTGTTTCCAGCCCTCTGAACCCATTCGCCCTGTTACGCCAGTTCGCCCCGTAACACCAGTTGGAGGGCATGACGATCACCTATTGAAGCCCATTCAACCTCTAACTATTCCACGTATTGAGCTCAGCTCAGTTTCTAATCGAAATTCTCCAAGACATAGTATTGTTTCAATGAATTATTGAAAACTTATCTCCATTTCTAGATGGATCGGTATCACCTAGATCGGTAACATATCAGCTTTCTCCCAGGAGTGCTCCTGTTTCTCCACGCAGTACCACCAGCAGTAATTATTCCGCCGGAGGTACTCCAATGAAGAAGGTATAATTTTCCACTGTTCCATCAGTTTTTTTCTCAATATTCCAGGTTGTTAAAAAATCTCGTTGGGTTTCTATCCACGATGGGAGACCCGTAAGCCCATACAAAGAAACAGTTTCGTATGAGCCTGCGTTTCCTGATCGCTACAGCAGGTATATAATTCCTAGAAGGTCTTTCTCAGTTTCTGCTTCAGTGCGTCTCACAGATCTATCCAATCGCCGTCATTATCACCTGCCCCTCATGGACTTCGTCGGCCCTCAGATTGTGCTTTGATCATGGAAAACCCTCTTTACTACGCAGATTAAACCAGGGTTTCATGTTCGTATTAATAGAAATCCTCATCCCTGATTACTAGAAGTCAATATTTCATTTGCGTGGAAGCAAACGAAAATATCTTTTCAGTTCGAACAATTTGTATTTTTAATTTTCCGAGATATATATTTTTTATATTTTGTATGTTGAAAATTGCTCAAAGTGCTCCGGTACTCGATGTAAATAAATAATTGATTATATTTATATTTGAAATTATTATTTTAAAATGAGTAGGAACACTTGACGAGGAAAAGCTGAGCATAACGTGGTTGCGTACTATTTTGGTGTAGACGTCAGGAAATTGGGTATGTTAATGAGCTTGTTCAATAATGAATGATTACCAATATAGTACTTTCTACCCGTATAAGAGATTATAAATGCTTCGAACTTCTATACCTTAATCGAATTCTATCAGTTTCATCTATGAATTTACAGGTTAATGTAATTTTTTTTGGCTTTTACGGATGCAGACAAAATCAGTGGTAGTCCCCATAGTTATTTTCTTGATTTTCTGGCTCTACTTGTTCCAATATACTTTACATAAGAGTTATGATACAGACGTAAGCTCACGAATTATCAAACTGATCCGACTCTTACTCTTATAGTTCGACAGCAATGAACTCAACGTGTTGGAGGAGCAAGCTAGGCTCCTCCAAAAATTGTTGACAAAAGAAAAACAAGAGCTTGAGCGTATGAAGTTGATGTTGAGCTCGTTCAAATCTGCTAATAAGGTTCGTATTTCTTTGAAAACGCTTATTCATTCAGTGTCTTAAGAATGACGCTGTTCGCAAAGTTGAGCATGTTGATCGCACGTGGCATCAACCAATCCCTGTGTTGGTAGGTTGTTTTCGACCATTCAGGAATAATAGAAAATTCTCTTCAGGTATTTGCTTGTAATCGACCTAATGCTGTGAAAAACCATCTAGAAAAGCTATTGAAGTGAGTACGAATAGATTTATGAGCTTTCAAGTTTTTGCAGACTTCGACAGTCCAAAGAACGTTTTCCTATTATTGTGAGCCAAGATTGCGATGATGACGGAGTGAGGAAAGTAGTAGAACAATATGGATCAGATGTTGAATATATTAAAGTAAAAAAGAAGTTTGAACTTTTCGAATTTTCTTTTTCAGCACGTAAGCGGCCAAAAAGCTAAAATTGAAATACCAAGTAACCATAGGATGTACACTACTTACTATTACATAGCCAGACACTATAAATTAGCTTTGGAGTACATTTTCGAAAAGAGAGGCTTCTCAAGTGTTATCATAACCGAAGGTACTTTTGTCAATTTTGTATAGTCTTTCATATTATTCAGACGACCTGGATGTTGCGCCTGATTTCTTAGAGTTTTTCTCTTCCACCCGTTATCTTCTGGACAAAGATCCTCAGCTCTGGTGTGTCTCAGCTTGGAATGACAATGGAAAGGTAAGAACTAAACAGAAGTTCTTTTCAAATAACGCTTCAGATTTCTAACATTAATTCGAAAGCTGCTGCAAAGCTCTATCGCAGTGACTTTTTCTCTGGATTAGGATGGATGATGGCCAGGTTAGGCGATTATTCTTTGTTCGCGATATGTAGCTTCTCATTTTCTCAGAAAAACCTGGGACGAGTTGGGCTCAATATGGCCGAGCGGTTTCTGGGACGACTGGATGAGAGACCCTCTAAGAAGAAAAGTTGTCCTATTGTTTTTCAATTCCTTCAGAATGTTTTTTTCAGAACCGACAATGTATTCGTCCTGAAGTGAGTAGGACGGGTATGACAGTTGATGGGAAAGATGGAGCAAGCAAGTAGGCTTCGTTTAGTAAGAGATTAATTCATTCTTCTTCTCAGAGGTCAATTTTTCGGTAAACATCTTGCGAAAATAGTCGTGAATAGAAACTATGTGAATTTCACAAACTTGGATTTGGATTACCTTCTTCAAGTGAGTCAAATACTACTGTGGCACGTTTCCGTTCCGTCGTTTTCAGGCCAATTACGATTCTGCTTTCGAGAACGAAGTCTTCGTCAAGAGTCAGTTGATGGGGATCGACGAGACTATTCGCTTTTTGAAGAATCCAACTAATCGAAAAATCGCAATTCGTGTGGAGTATAATGGGAATATTGATTACATTCATAAAGCGGATAAGTTGAAAATTATGCATGATTTCAAGGTAAATCTAGTTTGATAATTCGGAAGATCATTTTTTGCTTCAGGCTGGAGTTCCCAGAACAGCTTACAAGGGAGTAGTAACATGTTTTAAAAATGGAATTTGGGTGTACTTGGCTCCCGATAGAAAAGTTATTACTGGATACAATACATCGTGGGAAGTTCCTTCAAACATTGCCGAGTAATGAAGTTACAACATATTCCATACTAGTTCGGGTAATTTACATTTCTTTCCTGAAGTTATCAATTAGGGAACAGCACGTCAAATCACATGCTGTTCCGTTGTCTATTGGGTTAAATTTTGTGATTTCTTTTCTTCTGCTCATTGCCATGCTTGATATTGCTCTTCAGTTTCGTCGCGGTTTCTGGTCTTTTCTTTCCTTTTGCCTTGTTCTTCCGTTTCATCTCATATCATTAGTTGTTAGTAGGTGTTAATAATTTGAAACATTTCTAGTCAAAATAAAAAAAGAGCTAATAGAAAGTGTTCTTCTGTCACATACAATCTATATTGAATAAAACATTTTTTGACAAAAAAACGTCGAACGAACATGTACAAATCCTAACTATTTACATAATACAATGGAAAAGTACCCGATATCAGAGATACATAAGTTTAATTGGCATGTTGTAAAAGATCATTTCCATGGACCCGGCATAATTTGATTTGGTTATACATAAAATCCATTCATCTCCATAGAATATTGAATGAAAATGAGCTTTGAGTGAATTCAATTTTCTCCACATTTACATCACTATCGAGTCTTCTTCATTTTTGTTCAATCTAGCCGGCGATTCTGGTCTAACTGATGGTGAAGGAACAAAGCCATTATTATTTGAAAAACTGGGTGACTATAACATGATTCATTCAATTAAGCTCGATTTTACTTTAGCTCACTGGGCCACGAGATGATCCGACGCTCGTTTTCAACATCAACGGGCTATGTTCGGTCATTCTAGCTGATTCTGAGGGGGGAGTGCGAGCAGAGGAATCCATAACACATGAATCTGAACAAGATTTCAATAAAAAGAAGATTAGTAATGTTTGTCATACGTTGGTTGACCATTTCAGAGCATTCTGTAAGTCGTAAGGCCGGAGGAAGAGCTGTCGCTTGATGATTTCTGTTTGATTTGCCATATCGCCTATCGGAGGATTGATGAAGCTTTAATAATAAAAATAATATAAGGGATTAAAAAATATTAATATACCTGTCTATTCAACAATCCATATAAGATGAAATTGGAAGCCGAATTGATATATGGCAACGCATGAACTCCATACATTATATAAATGTAGCTGAACGTCGGTTCAGTCATTGTATAAGGGTCGACAATCTCTTGATAAAGTGAATAAACAACGGATATCCAATATGGTGTCCTAAATAGGTGAAGCTTGAAGATTTTTGAACAAAATAGACGAAATGGAAGAAGTAATGAGAGCAAAACAAACCAGCAAACGAAGTGAACAATGCAAATGACGAGCGTATAGACAGCAATGTGGCCTATGGGAATCTGTAAATTAGTTAATAATTTTCATTTGTTTTCTCAGAAATTATTTTTCATTGTAGAAGATGAGAATAATAAAGATTTGTACCTTCTCTTCGACACCTTTTCGACGTCCATTAGTTAAAGTTTGACGAACAGCTCGAGCTTGTTTGAAAAGGCGTATCAACATACCGTAATAGAAATAAACCATCATAACTAATGGAACAGCGTAAGCCTACAAATAAAAAAAATTAGAGTGTGGATATATAGGTTTAGATATATATAGAAAGTTATGACTAGGATTGCAACCGCATATTATAGCTGTGACTTTGAAAATGAAAGTGAATTGTAGTTGGAAAGCTACAGCTTCGTGACAGCAATCACTTAGCATATAGTACGAGCGTTCGTTTATGCAAATTTCTGAACGAATGGAACGAACACTCACCAATATGAAACAGTATAAAGTGAAGAAAATGAACAGCTTATCACCCAAATCATCAACGCATTTGTATAAATGCATTCGCGTGATTGTTTCCTGAGCCATGTCAATTTTTTCATGAATGACCAACTCCTTAAATGATTTTTAATCCAATTTTTGTTGTTTAATTAGCAAAAAAAAACCTTTGAATGAGCATATAGTAAAATTGGAAATAGCATAATACATGTTACACAAAACATTCCACCCAATAGCCAGTATACAGTACTTTGACTTCTAACTCGAACCTCAAACAATTATCCATTGAGGAAGTAAATTCTGTTGCATTTTATACCTTGAGGGGATGGCATACAGCACAATAACGATCTATACTGAAGGCAACCAGAATGAATGTTGAAAAAATTTTTCCGATATGTTCAAGTAACCGAAATAGTTTACAAGCAAATGTGCCAAACATCCAAAAGCCAAGAATCTGTAATTGAGTGAGACTGATGATTAGCTTACAGCAGTAACAATTTGAAACAAAAAATTGTTATTTTATATAGAAAAAAAGCAAAAAGAAAATATAATTAAAGTTTTTTGAAAAATATTTGAACGTCGTTATTGTTTTTCTTCTTTACCTGATCGATTATGGTCATTGGTAGTGGTAGCATACTGAGAAAATCCACAATACAAAGGACACAGATATACGTTAATGTTGTGTTGTGACGAGATCTGAAAAGCTTTTAGTTAAAAGCTTTCACAGAAAAAAAAATAAAGGGATGCAGATTGTGAAGAAGAAAAGAGAGTTCGTACAGAGGTTGTGTGAAAAAATATGTGTCTTTCAATCATTTTGACCTTTTGCGTTCTCATAGTTATGTACTTTTTTTTTATTTCTTCTTTCAAAGGGCATATTCACCTGGAATCATTGCTTTTGACGTGATAAACGACAGCCAAGATAGCAGCATTCCCACATGATCCAAGCATGAAAAGCATAGCATAAAAAGCCGCAATGGCCATTAAGCTACTATTATCATGGTTTGATAAAGGTAGAGCATAAACAACTGAATACTTAAAAAAGACATATAATGTATAAAATGTGAAAGTTTCTTCCTTACATTCTGATAAATATCGCCTTGAACATCAGGTGGAAGAATGTAATTGACATCCGATATACTATCAGGCGATAATGCCATTGTCATCTAAGCTTTTTCTTCAGTTTGGTCTGGACGAAAATTAAAATAACATCCTAAGACTGAAAATTTAAAATAAGAAAAAAAAACAAAGAGAGGATTAACAGGAGAATGAAAGAGAGTGAAAAAAAACATAAATTCCATATTGTTCACACACAGAGCAACAAAAAGAATTAGAGAGAGAGGGCCAGAGAGGGGAGAGGGGAAATTGTAAGCAATCGATCATGGATTTTAATGAAAATATGTTCTGACTTCCAAGAAACTTATTGAAAACTGATTGCATGATAGTTGTTTGAAAATAAATAAATGATGGAATATTTGATGAAAAAATGAGAGATTAGTGGAATAATTTGATAATCTGACGCCCAAATATAACTGCTGAGATAACTTACCTGCTTTCCACGTTAGAAAAGATGTTTGAAAAGGAAATGGAGGCTGAAAGAGGGGGGGGGGAGAGGCTAGATGAATATGAATATAATGAGAGACACGTAGAGAGAGAGAGCAGGATGGACATGATAATCTCACAATTGATCTCAACCAAGCTTATCATAAGCTTATACCAAATGGAATATATATGACAAAATTTTTTTTCCTCCTTTGATTTGAAAGAGGATGTTCTCGAACCAAATGTCGAAGCTTATGATGTGGAGGTTACAAATGATGATGAAGGGAAGAGGAGGAGGGGAATGAATAATTATTTGAAATTTCTTCGCCAGCATTTGATTGTTCCAAAAAGCTTGGAGGAAGACGTCAAAAATGAAAAGAGAACTCTCTTCTTCTTTTTTTTTTTGGAAAACGATTGAATAAAAGAAGAAAGTGGAAAAAAAAGGAATGAAAAGAGAGAGAAGAAGAGGAAAGATCTCTCGTAATATTCATCGAAATTTGGAATTAGTCGAAGTCCCTCATCTAATACGTTTGAATGAACATGGACCCCTTAATAAATTTATCCTTTTAAATGAATGTTTTAAAGATTTTTTTGATTATCTCTCGGCAAGTTTTGTGAAAAATGAATGAAAACATCAGGGGGATGGAGAGGAGGGAAATGACCAAAAAATATGCCATAAAAGCTAATTTCCAACTAATAATTAGCATAAATTAACGATTTTAAATACAAAAGTGTTATGAGGGAATTATTTGATTGTAGTAGTGGGCTTCGTGTGCTCTTCTCTCTCCCCAGAGAAATTGAGAAAAGAGCAAATGAAGGTTTCATAGCAAAAAAGCCTCCTACTCACATATAGGTGATTAAAAATAATATTTTAGATGTTTGAGTGAGATCCACGTAACACATGATGGGCGTTGAAAATGAAAAAGAACTTGAGAACGGTTGCAAATTCCTTCTTCTTTTCATGTAAACAAAAAAGTTCAAATTATTTCCTTATCAAAAAGCTAACAAATCTGAGAAAGAACGAAAAACTAGTTCATGATAGTTGGAGAGAAAGTGACAAAACGGATGGAAAACCAATGAAGGAGGAATGGATGGGGGGTGGGAGAGAACAGTAGAAACTATTTGAATGAGTTACAGATCGAATTTCAGCTGTTTTTCTACCGAACTTTAAATTGGTCGACAAATTGAAGTAGAGGGGTGTGGGGAGGGAATGAAGGAACGAATTCACGAGAATGGAGGATAGTGAAAGAGGGAGGGATGTTATGGAAGTCATATGAAGTCATATTGAGACAGTAAGAAAGTAAATTAGTCAAACAATTATGAAGAAAAAAAGAAGAAGAACAAGAGGAACAATTAATTATTTAGAAGAAAGAAGTTAGAAGAAGAACGTGGAGAGAGGGGGTGGGGTGTGGTATTGAGGGAAAGCAAAGAAGAAAAAAAAATTCTTTTTTTTTTATTTTCATTTCTTCAATTCAGCTTCAAATTATTCTGAGAGGGAGACTGTGAGAGCTTGTGACGATGAGAAGATCTATCTGATGTTTTGTTTCAGATATTTGTTACAAAATTTTATTAAATTTAAACAAAAATATTAAAAAGAAATATGATGTGAAATTGAAGAAATGAAAAAAAATAATTTGAAAGTATTTAAAAGAGAGAGAGAGAGGGTGTGATAGAGAGAGGGAGAGAGAGAGAGAGATTTCTCATCAACAAAAACATGAAAGTTTAATGGAAACAGATGTCTTAGACATTTTGATATTGAAATGACAAGGACGTTTATGCTAATTTATAGTTGAAAAGGACGAAAAACAGGCAGAATTCGTAAAGAGAGACAAGAGGTGCCATTGTGGGGAAGAAGGAGGATTAAGAAGGTGTATGCAGAGGGAGAAGGTGAAAAACGCACTGCCCATATTCAACATTCACATAGAGATATAGATAGGGAGATAGAGAGAATGAGGTGAGAATGAGAATGAGAGATTAATAGATAATAGCAGAGAAAGAGAGATACAGAGAGAGAGATAGAGAGAGAGAGAAAGAGAGAGAGAGAGGATAAAAAAAAGTGGGAGGAGAGAAGAAAGCAACCGATTCAATGCGTGTGCAATGAGAAAATGAAAATTAGCTGATTAAGCTTCACGTAACTTACGTGAATTATCGGGAATATGCTAATTAGAATTGTATTAATAGTATAGATGAAAAATTATCTGAATAATGATGTAATAAAGAATAAAAACAAAAGATTTTGAATGAAAAGAAAATTAATTATCTATCAAAAACTAATTTTTATTTCAAAAAGTTCATTTGCGTGCATAGGAAGAACAGATTGATTGTAGTTTTGCAAGTGAATGAAGGAGTAGGAGGAGGAAAAAATGAAGACGACGAAGAGGACGATGAAGACGAAGAGTAGGAGAACTTAATTTCTTATTAGAATAAATGAACATTTGATATAAAATAAATAGAAGCAATAGACATATGGAAGAAGGAGAAAAAAAAAAGGAGAAGGAAAGTTTTCAATTAACTAACGTGGATTATATACATATAGTTAAGAGGAATTTCCGTATATAAATGATATCAAAAACACTGTTTCTCTCTCTTCAACAAACAACAGCTTCAAACCTGAAATGAAAATCAATTTTTGTTAAAAAAGAATTCAAAAAAAAAGAAAAAAAAAAAGAAGAAGAAGAGGGGAAGAAGACAACGCCGACGACATCAGAAGATGTTTTGAAAAACACAAAAAAAGTGTGAAAAGGGAAGACGCCAAGTGAATATGGTGTTTAACTTATTAATTTCGAATATTTTACTTCATTTTCATTTTTATAGTCAGGAGTGAATGAGCAAAATGAAATAGATGGAAAGGAATACTTTCAAAAGCTACTCCTATTCTCTTTCTATGTGCACCTCTCTTCACATTTCCTCTCTTTAAAGCTCAACAAGCTTTTACAAGCAAAAGGTTTTAACTATACTATTTATTATCTTTTGGTATATATCCTCTCTCGCTCTCTCTTATTCTTTTACAAACTTGTAATCCTCAGTTCTTTCTTTCCGGTTAGCTTGAGATCAAATTTATTTTTTCGAAAAAAAAAGAATAATAACACAAATTATTTTATTTAATTTAGAATGAATAAATTAACTGTCACACAACACAACACAACCGATTCCTGCAAATTATTTCCTCACAATGAATCAGCTCAGTGGGTATTTCACGTAAAACGTAGAATTAGTATATGAGGGAAAAACAAAAGAAACAATATGTGGATGCTATCTATATGTATAGTTAAGAGATTCACAAGTTAGCCAAAAGCACTTGAAAGATTTGTGAGTGTGAGAAAAAAATAATTTTTTTTTCAGCAAAAACGGATTGTTAACTATACATGTACTTACATTCTTTCATTGAAAGAGTCTAAGGTGAATGTAAAGAGGAAAAAAAAGAAGTAGAAACAAAGAGAGAAAAGAAATTAGGTACAGAGAGGGAATAAACGAAGAAGTAAAGAGAAAGCAAGGGAATAAAGGGAGGGAGTAGATTGAAGGGAGGGGGGGGATAGTGGGTGATGGAATGGATGAAGGGAAAGCACACCCACAAACAGTGAAAAAGAGAATTAAATTTGATGAGATATGAGAGAGATAGAAAACTATTTTAAAAGAAGAAAAACATTATAAAGTAATTACAAAACTATTTAAAAATTACCCAAATGTCCTTAAATTTAATATTTTTTTCAAAAATTTCTTTAAAAAAGGCATTGTGCCATAAAGGACATGAGCCATTGTTGTATTGACCAAATAACTTTTAGAAATTCCTAATTTCTTTGACCTTAAGAAATATTTCATAGAGAGATCTTTGATTTTCTTCTTTGCAGGGAGCTCTTGTTCTTTCTCTTTATCTCGCTATTACTATCTCTCTCTTTCTCTCTTTTTCCCTCTGTCTTTCTATTTTAATCTAAACACAAGGAAATGTTCTCAAAAAAATTAAATTTTCTATTGTAAGGAATTATGAATTTCACACGAAATGTCACTTACCATTCATAAGACAATTAAAAGAGGGAATTTAGAGGTGGAAGACCAAAGTAAAAAAAAAGGAGGCAAAGTAAAGGTGTAGTAGAATGGCAGAGAGAGAGGAAGGCAATATGTGTGGCTGATGAAATGTAACTTAATCTCTACATTTCCGTGTTCAAAATACCTTGATAGCTGTGCAAAATAGGGAATTTTCTATAAAAATCGTTTAAGGAAGGAAGGTTAATGAAAAAGAGAGTAAGAGAGAGAGTGAATAAGAGAGAGGAAAATATAGAGAGAGAGAAAGAAATGGGAGGGAAGGAGGAGAGGCAGGAAAAAAAACAGAGAGTGGAGGAGGGTAAAGCTGAAAGTAAAGAGTCTTTTTTTCTCTTCATATCTATTTGGATATTTTTTGTTTTTGCTTTTTCGTCCCTTCCAATTGGTTACACGGATAATTATCGACAACACTGTTTGCATAGCATTATTTCATTTCTTTCTTTTGTCCAGCCATTTTTGAATTCTTTTAAAAGAAAGTTCTTTTACTCTTTCTCTCTCTCTCTCTTTCTCTCCCTCTACGTCTGTGTTTAAAAAAGAAAATTTTTTTTGTTTCTCTATTCCCTTCCTTCATGTCTCTCTCTCTCTCAGTATTCCTTCTAGCTATTTTCTCTCTCTCTCTATCTCTTTCTCTCTCTCTGTCTGTATTCCCTCCCTCCCTTTCTCTCTCTCTCTTCACCATCATTTCATTCAACAATAGAAAGATGACATGGAAATTCAATTTGTTTTTCAGAAAAATTTACATTCAACAATTCATCTAACCGAATATACATCTAGTTGATCAAGTTTAGTTTTTTTTTGTCACATTTACTGAAGAAAAAAGAGAAAAAAAGTTTAAAAAAAGGGAAAAAACAGCTTGAATGATAACAATAAAAGAAGATTTATTAGAATAAAACACGAGTAATTAGTTTTTTCTTCAGAAAATTGACGGCAAAAAACAAAGAAACTGACTGACTGACGAACAAGCAATTGAAGGATGAAAGAGAAGAAGAAGAAGGGAAAGGAGGAGGAACGACATTCGTGTGAAGACACAAGAAGAAGAAGATGAAGCACAAAAATGGAGAAAAAGAGCAAAAACTCATTAATTCATTTATAATTTGATGAAATGAACAAAAAAAAGATATGTTCTTTGCCGTGTATGGCTTCTATCACGTCATTTAATAGACATTTTAATTGTTAGCTGAGACATCTTTCAAGCATTTTTAATATCCGCCTTTCGATTTCATTTATTTTTTTTCCTTTTTTTTTGGTCTTCTCATTCGGTATCATCTTCTTCTTCTTTGCTTTTATTCTGTTTCGTTAAACATGTTGTATTGAGATACGGATGAAATGGATAACGACATTTACAAAGATTGTTTTAAAATTAAAAAAAGAAAGAAAAAGAAATTATCGATTCAAAGAGGATTTTGTTAAGCAACTTATCACAGTGGGAAGGGTGTGATGTTTAACCTTTGGATAAGCTTTAGCTGTCAACTGATTCCTTCTCATGTAAAACGTTTCTCGCCAGTAAAGAATTCAAAATAAATATTCCTTCATCAACAGAATAAGAGAGACAGAGAAAAAGAAATAATGAGATAGAGAGAGAATGATATATAGAGAGTATAATATAAAAAGAAAGTAAGATATAGAGGGAGAAATGAGATGCACAACCGCTCTTCGTGTCAAAAGGAGAAGAAAATAGAAACGAACACCACCACCACTACCACGTGGAAGCTCTGTTGACGTCAAGGAAATTAGCATAAAGATAGAAGAGAAAAGTACAAATAAATGTATTTTTTCTCAGAAAATGTAGAGAGAAAGCAGAAATTAACGAGAAAATATTTTATTTTTGGAGATGAATGACTCAAGTTTAATGGCAGAATCTGATGAACTGAAGAGAGCGTTCAATTCTAATTTTGAAGAGACGAACGAGAGAGAGGGTGAGAGTATAATTTTATTTTCAAGACATTTGCTTTAAAAAGACGAAGAAAAAAAAGAAGTCGTAAAGTAAAATCTTTTGTTCAATTCATAAGCGTAAGAGGGACACAGTATGAGAGTGTGAAAGAGAGAGGGAGATCAAGCTAGACAAAGACACAGACAGAGAGAGATAGAGATAAAGAGAAATGAGGAAGATTCAGCTGGAGCTGCAGCTTCCAAATGGTTTCATAGTGGGTTTGTTCTTCTTTTGTGTCTAATAAGTAAACAGACACATCCATAGAATAAGGAAATTCTCTTCCAAAATTAAACATCTTCGTCTCGAAAACATGAAAATTTCAAAAATTTTGTGTCAAGTCGGTCAAAAACTTGAGATAAACAAACCAAAGAACATCTGATGTGACCATCATCTGTGTCTGATCGAATATCTTCCAATTCACTCACTTTCAACAAAAAAAAGTTATTTTCTTTTAACAAAAAAAAGAGAAAGAGAGGAGAAAAAAGGATATACATACATATATATAGAGAGAGAGGGGGAGGGAGAGAGAAAGAGAAAGAGGAAGAGAGTGATACGGAGAGATGGAAGGAGGGAGACGACTAAATTTGTAAAAATAGTTTGCATTTTTTTGAACTCTGAACACTTTCCATATTATAGAGCAAATCTCTACAATTTCCATGAAAAATGGGGCAATCCGGAAGTTTCAAAACAATTTCTGCGTGTTTTTGGCATTTTTAAAAAAAAAAGAAAATAAGAGGATCGAATGAATATTTGAATGAAAAAAACGAAAATCACAAGGTCATTTGGGGCTTCCAAGTGCGTGAGCGGATGGATGTCAAATGGCTGTAAATGGAAGCTGCAGATTTCTTCACACATATAAATGAATGTGAGGGACTGTAATAGCAGGAGAGAGAAAGACAAAAGGGGTGGGTGGCAGCAAAGCTTTGGAAAATCTTGTGTACGTGTATGGGTGTGTGTGTATGTGTGTGTGTGTGTGTGTGTGTGTGTGTGTGAGTGTGGAACCCATAGATGGTAATAGGAGCCATCTAATCTTCTTTCTAATGAGATGGTAAAACAGAAACACATGAATTGCAAAAACGAATAAGAAAATTCGTCTGAATCACCTGAAGCTAAATGCTGGTTGATGTTTTGAAAACAAAAATGAATTTGTTTTCTTTCAATTCTCAAATTGGATGGAAACTTAAAAGGATCTTCACGAAAGGCATAACTTGAAAGAAACAACAGTATCAAAAAATAGAATATTAGAAACATTAGAATTTGACCGACTCAGAAGAATTATGGCTGAAGGATGTGTGTGTGTATGTGTGTGTGGTTGTGTGTGTGTGTTGAGGAAGAAGCTCAAGGATGACGTTGTTTGGCCAAAAAGTCTTTCTGTTGGAAAAAAGTGTCGAAAACAGAATTGACTATAAGTATCAAATTCCTCCCCATATTTCATGAAAATCGTCACTTTTGGAAGTTAAAATAATTTTCGAAGAAGAATCGTCCTTTCGGAACACGGGTAAAGAGAAACAAGAAGTTTGAGTGGAACATTGAGCTTAGAAGGGGGAGGAGTGAGAACATGAAGAAACTAAATGATTATAAACGAGGGAATGATAGTGGACGAAAAGGAAAACTAAGTAATAGCTAAGGGAAAAAAGGTGTGAATAGACAGCTGGAAGGGAGAAAGAGAAGAGAAAGGTTTAGTACAAAGGGAGAGAGAGAGAGAATAATATGACAGGGTGAGGGAGTTATGAAGAGAAGGAAATGCAAGTGAAGCACACACACACACACGAGGCGTCAATGAAAGACTGAAGTCAGAAACGACCGATGAACTTTAAACCATAAAAGGGAATGAATATGCTAATTACATATATAATTATATGGAGATATATTAAAAATAAAAATAAATTTTTCTTTTTTTTCTTCAGAAATATTATGTAAATAATGAGTAAAGTACATGTATAAGACATAAATCTTCATGTTAATAATCCCAAAAAGGAATAATTTCTTTTTTGAAAAAAAAAACGACTGGATAAACAAAAAACACAGAAAGAGAAAACAAATTTTCTGATGATTCTGTCTTATTTATAGATGGTAATGGCTACATTACGTCACACAGAAGCTTCTTCTCCTTCATCGTCCTCTACTCCTTTGCCTTCGTAGGGCAAGCCTTCAGCCTTCTTTTCTGCTTCTCCTTCTTTTTTCTCTCCTTCTTTTTCAGTCTTCTGCTAAAAAAGGAGATGACTTGTCATCACGAATGCAAAGTTTTGGGAGAACAAAAAATAGTTGTATGTTTACATATAAATTTTAAACTAAAAAACGAGGAGAAATTACAATATCTCATGGCATATTGACGACGCCGACGACACTGTCAATGAACGTCTCCGAGATCGACTCAGTCTTCAGTCATACCCACAACTCACATGCTCATAGATAGATAGAAAGAGAGAGTAACGCATAAGCATGCAACTTTGGACTAAGAATCAAGAGAATAAATACAGAGAGAGAGAGAGAGAGAACTGCTCACAAAAAAGGAGCTTTTATATGGAAATAATTATGAAAAACGTCCAATTTAGAAGGAAAAAAGAAAAACAACACTGACAAGCTCAACTGTCGACTTGAGAAGAGGAAAAGGGAAAAGCTGAGATGACAGGTAAACAAAACTTTAAATTATCAAATGAGTCTGATTTCTTTTTCTTATAAAATAAATAAAAATCTTCATATTTCATCAACATGATTTGGTAGTTAGAGAATGAGATAGATCACAGTAGCGGACGATGAGCTTTGTTACGCTTAGCAGGGAAGACGGACAAGACGAGAAAGAAGACTCTCATAGCTCCGTCACACATACAAACTTTGAAATTTGTCAACTCTCTCTGTTCAACTTTCTGGAAAAGAAGAAGAGTTTCTATAAAAGGAAATATTTACGGCTTCACATAGGAAGCAGGAGAAAAAGCTGCAAGTTTTGACCTCCGAATGACTAAAAGACCATTTCTTTTGATCTTAAAAAAGTTGCGAAAAAATGAAATGAAAATTGGCTTCTGTCGGGGAATTCCGAAGCGTATTTTGGTAAAAAAAAAAAATTTTTCTGTTGACAATCCCTTGTAACCTCTTTGGAGGGAAATAACAGGCTTGTATAGATTTTTTGGTAGCAAAGAAGAGAACTGGTTTAAAAGATTTTTTTTTTGGCCTTTTTTTTTGTCCGAAATTCCGATCCGTTCTACTCGTGATGATTTCTGATTTTCTCATCTACATTGCGGGAATGACGCAGCACATGATGATGATGATGATGATGTTTAAGAAATTCTGAATCAAAGAGAAATAAAGATGAATTTTTATTTTGTTATGATTAAATGGATTTAAAAATATAATGGATTATATAAGGATGTGAGCTGCTGCCGCTGTCTACTGAAAGCATTCAGCCCAAAATGAAGTTTTTGTTCGTCCTCCTCGCCCTCTGTGCCGTTGCTTTGGCTCAACGAGGAAATGTTCGTCCATTTCATTATATTCTTGTTGTTCAATTTTTTTTCTTTTTTTCAGAATAATCAACAAGAACAAAATTCGCAATTCGTCAACAATGGAGTGAACTTGCCATGTGGATTTTGTGAATTTCAATTATTATAAAAGGTTGAAAGTAACATGTTTGCAGCTTGTACTCGCAGAGCTCAATTCCAAACATTCATGGATGGACAGCTCACAAGTGCACAGTGCTCAAGCAGTGGAGTTGATTCTCTTTCTCGTTGTAATGGATGTTGTGGCGCTCGTGCTTTAGCTGCCGGAATTTCGACCGTAACATACAAAAATATAGTATCCATATTCAGCAAATATTATTAAGGAATTCGCTTCTGGATTCGCTTCCGTTAACAACAACGAATGCGTCTGTTGTACTTTCCGTAGATGCTGACTGTCCGATGATAATGACGTAGACGAAGAAGAAGAAAAAATTGAAGTATTTTGATGAACTTGTCAATAAAATAGATCATTTTCTACATTCTTCAGATTTTATCTGGCAACATCCGAACTTACCTTTCTTTTCTTCCTTTTTTTATTTTCAACATAAAAACAAAAGTATAATAGATAGTGATTCAACCGTTCCGCATCGGTGATTTTCATGAAAAGCACGAATTTCACGTCGTTTGCGCCACGTGTAGATTGACGTGTACTTGAGTTTACAAAGGAACTTCTATTGTAAGAAATGGCATTGATGAGAAAACTATATAAGGAGAGATATTTTTATCGTTCCATCTCATCAAATTGGGAATTCTTTCAACCTTTTTTTTTATTTTCTTCTTTCTTGCTGCTGCTGCTGATTTTTTTTTTCTCCAAAATATTTCGGGTGCGGTCACTGTGTTGCTTTACTCATTAAAGCCTTGCCTAGTTCACCTTATATGGATATTGTTTTTTCAGAATAAGATGCATCTTTTAATTGTTTTTTCCACTTTTATTGTTTGTACATTTGCTGCCGTTGCTCAATATCCTGTCAAGGTTTTTTTTTTATTTTGGAATCATTTGTTGACCCCATATGGGTGTTATAGATTGGAGAAGCTGTTGTCCTTGATTTGGGCCCATTCATAAAAAATTGGGAAAGACAAAGAAAAGGACATTCCAAGGAATCTCTAAGCTTTTGCGAAGAAGCTAAACGGCTTTCGGACAAAAAATGCACTCAATTCGTCGACCAAGTATAACTTTTTGTCTTTTTTCTATCCTTTAACTGAAAGGCACGATCAGAACGGCCATTTAACTGGATCAAAAGCTGTTGTTTATGAAAATGGCACTTTAGTCTTCGAAAGTTTCACGAAAGAAGATGTTGGAAGCTATTTCTCAAAGGATGAAAGGGAAAGAGTAATTTTCTATTTTTCTTTTCTCTCTCACACAGACTTTTTTTATTTGAAGGTTCAACAAAATGCTGACGGAACATACTGGGCTCTTCCACGATCATTAATTAACATTTTTGTTTCTGAACAATAAAATTATTTTATTTAATCTATATATACTCAAGTTGCTTCATTGAACGATTTCACTTCATTGTTTCATCACGATCTGATTCATCACATCGTCATTCGCCAATTTCTTGTAATTTGGCAAATGATTGTCTTCGGTAATCTTGGGGCCTTAAATGGCTTATGAGATTCTAACAATTGGCTGAGAAACACAATTTCATTCACATCAACATGTCCTTCAACTCGTCAGATGTGCCAAGTTCGTTGTATTCCTTAGTTGATGAACACGGAGGTGGAATTTTGGCACCCTGGATAAAGTATGCTCGGTCATCCGGTGACTACAGTATTCTTGAAGAATATCTGGATACTTCGGTAGCCTCATTTGTCTCATTCACATTCTTGCTTTCCTTCTCATTAAGGTAAAAGCTTATTTATACAATGGAGGCAAAGGAAAACTTGTTTCCATTTCAGAACTTGTTAGCATTCGGTAAATTCTTCTCTTTTTTTTCCAAGAATTATCATTTCAATTAAGAAATAAACAACGAAATGCCATGTTGGGAGCTTTACGACGTAAGAAAGGCCGAGGAAAAAGCGGTCCAAATATTTTGGACGACATTGATCAAGAAATTTTTGATTCTCGAGATTTCTTAAAAGGTAAAAACCTGAAATGAGAAAATTGGACTGAGAATTGTTCAAGCTTTGAAAATACTGGATGGAACTCATATAAGGGGCCATAGATGTTTCAAATATCGAGAGCTAGTCTGGGATATTCAGCAGAGAGGTTTAGCTTTTGTAAGAGACTAAGATATAAATTTGTGACTATGAAGGAAAGATGGGTGAATGTCTTTTACACATTTGTCTTCTACATAATACGGCTGATATGAATGAGCTAGCAAGACAGATGGTCTTAAAATATCCGAAAATGGTGAATGATATTTTCATTTCGGAGGAGTACTATGGTAACTGATCGCTTAATGAATGAGCTATGTTAATTAGGTTTATCTCCATTACATCAGGCCATCGTTAATGAAGACTTAAGTATGGTTTATTATCTTTGTCGTAAAGGGGCTGATGTCCATCAGAGGTATTTTGGCATTCATTAAGCTAATTATGGTAATGTTATAGATGTTATGGCTCATTTTTCTGTTCTGATGATCAGAAAGCGTCTCGAACAGATTCTTTGGAACATGAATGGGTTGATTTATCACCAAATACTCGTTATAATGGGTATAATCACTCCGTTATTAACTTATATTAATTAAACATGCTAATTATAGACAAATGTATTGGGGAGAATATCCGTTATCATTTGCTGCTTGTACAAATCAGAAAGATACATTTCGTTTATTAAAAGCTTTTAAAGCCGATTTGAATATGATGGATACTAATGGTAACACAGTACTCCATTTAGCTGTTATACACGATTTGCCCGTATGAAATCAACTTACAGAATTTTCGTTGTTAAAAATAATAAAATTAAGGATATGTTCAAATTAGCATATGACAATGGAGCGAATTTACGAATCGCCAACAACGCCAAATTAACTCCTCTGGCTTTGTCGGCTCGTCTGGCAAATAAGAGAGTACAAAAAAACATTTTTAATTAGAAATAATTATGTAAATTAAGATGTTCGATCTAATTCTCGATTTGGAAGCGCTTTGTCCTTGGAGATATGGAGATATCATCTGTAAAGAATATCCACTAGCCAATATTGATACAATAAGTGAAGAAGATGGAACTCTAAATCCAAATTCTGTTTTGGCAAACGTCGTCTATGGTGTTTGTTTTATTTTTGATTGCAAGCGGACGCAAAGCGGTTGTTCTATAGGACAAATCTGATCATTTGGATTTTTTTGATGGATTGATGGAAGAACTTTTAGAACGAAAATGGGAAGCGTTCGGGAAAAAAAGGTTTTTTCTAAGAGCGAATGCGGGGGTTTGAAAAATGTGTTTTCAGATTATTCTGGTCCTTGTTTGGCTATTTATACTTTTTGTTTGTGTTCTTCTTATCATTCATGACAAGGGAAGTACGTGAAACGGTAATACTCACCGAATTTATGAGAATTTAAGAATATGATTACAGTATGAAGAGGAAGAAGAGGAAACATTTTCAAATTTCTCAAGCATTTTCAGCCACAAACCGCTGACTTTCGAAGAATTGCTAATCATTCAGAAGTACAATGAGAGAGTTCCTGAAAAATGCCATTTATGGAATTATTCAAAGGACTTCCGACAAATGGTAAATAAGGAACTACAATTGCATTCTAACCATATGCTATAGATAAGATTCAGCGCTGAAATTTTATCGTTGATTGCTGTAGTTGTTCGCACAATGAAAGATTTGGTTGACATGCAAAGGACAGGATTCATACGATGGTGGAACACACTTGTAGGCGTATATCATGACTAATCATCGTAACACGAGATTATAGAAAGCATTTCCGGAGAAAATTCTGCACAAATGTGCTCAAATGTTGATATTCCTCATGATACCTATTAGAATGATGTGCTATCTACATGAAATTATGCTGGTTATAGAGAACATTATAGCCATTTGTGTCGTTTTGATGTCAACTATGCATTTCTTCTTCTACTGCAGGTTAATCATTACGTCATAGTATCATCACTGTATTCAATGCAGGGGTTTGAAGTTCGTTGGACCTTTCGTTCTTATGGTTTATAAGATTGTTATGGGTGATATGTTGAGATTTTTGTTCATTTACGCATTTTTTATGCTGGGATTTGCACAAGGTTTCGCGATTTCTCTCTCACGTATCCATATATGGCATGGAAGCGCTTTTCAGCTTTTTACGTCATTTTTCACTCTTGTCATCGAGCTGAACTAGACTATCAACGTCAGAATAACTATACGTCTAACATGGATTATCCGACAAAGTTCTTGTTTGGAAAAAGTTTTTCCTTTAAAAATTCCTTTTAAAGATTTGAAAACATTATGGCAACCCCGTTTGAATCCATCATGAGGATGTTCATTATGAGTGCTGGAGAATTTGGGGCTTTTTACAAAAACATAAATGATTGTAAACATTCAATAGCCTTTCAAGGAAAAGTAGGGATTGAGAAACTAGATTATCAAGAATCTGATACTCTTGCAGATGTTTTTCACCTTATACGAGCTGTTGGTAACCATTATGCTGCTGAACTTGCTGATCGCCATGATGACTCGAACTTACGAAAAAATCGCAGAGACGGAAAAAGAATGGAAAAGACAGGTCCTTCCTCATTTTATCTTTGTATGATTTTGTTTGCGAAGTTCCCTGGAAAATTATCAGAAATTGATAATGATGCAGGATAAGGAGGGGAGTACAACATCGCCTACGCCAACTGAGCATTTCCATACTCAGTTTAAATTGAGACGATAAAGAGAAGAAGATAGATATAATAGAAATGACGGAGAAGTGAGAAAGCTGAGTCAAAGCATATTAATTTCAGTGGGCTCAAGTCATCGTAATGTTAGAACAATCGCTTTCACCTTATGAGCGCCTAATGGCGATGTTCAGTTATTCTCGTCCGATCCGTAGTGATAAACGTCGTCGAGCGTTTGTTGTTCGTCTGAAGCATACTGTAAATTGGGATAAAACGAAAAAAAAGAAGAAAATATATTTTTCAGAAAAGTACTGAGAACGTGGCTCAAATGGAATTCATTGGCAAGAAACAGAGTATACGTTTATCACAGAATAGTCATTTACATATGGCTGGACTAAGATGATTCAAAAGTTATTTGAATGATAAGATTTTTATGATTTTTTCCGGATTCCACTCATCCTTATTCATTTTTTCTTTTTCTCTCATGAGTGTATGATCTCCTGATGTTTTAGTATCTCTGATCTCTCTGTTATCAGCCATAGTCTCTCGTTAACTAAAACTAATGGAATTTTCCCAATAAATTACGTCTTCAAATAATTTTTTCTTCAATTTTTATCTCAAAGTTTGAAAGTTCTTATCTTCCAATTAACTTCCATCGTCATTCACACCTTCGTGATGAAAATTGTTATATTTTTTCTTCTAATTTCAGTCATATCCTGTAAACCTTATGGAGAGGTAGGCAACCATCAGCCCTGCTGATCTTCATTTACCTCTTTCTAGAGCTTTCCTCTCGTTCACAGTCAAAAAATGAAAAAGGCTAGTTCATTCTGTCTGCAAGAGAAGGATATAATAGTCAATCAAAGGTATTTCCATTCATTGCAGAGCACAACCGCTTTGTTCGTTTGCAAATGAAAAAATAAAAACAACCCTAACGACTCTACATGATATTCTAATTTGCAGTGGTGAGCCGTTTCACTACCAACGACGTGTTCGACAAGTCAAGAAACGAAAAATAAGAATTTATCGCCAACAATCGACATCATCTTCTTAAATTAAATGATTAACTGAAAGATCTGATCTCAAATAAAGAATGTCTGCATAAACCAGTGAATGAAAGGCACATATACATATATTAATTATATATATTATTATAACTTATTTCGGTTGATCATCATAGTACATTGCATAGTAGTCGCTATCTTTACGGTAATTGCGTGTTGTGGGCCTAGGTGCTGTAGTAGTTGTAACCCTCATCGTTGTCCAAGTTCTCGTTGTTGGTACAGTAGTAATCTGAAAGTTTAACCGATCAAGGAAAGACTTCTCTTCATACCTTGGTAGTCTGTATTCGCGTTGTCTCCTCAATCGCGCTTTTTCTGAATGTCCCGACACTTTTACTCAAAACAATTCCATTGGTTTTTATAGAAGTTTGAGAACTCTGAAAGTTATGCTTTTTCTTCTCCTCTATTTATTTTGAATTACTTTAATTGGGGTTGATGGAGGAGCGACGTCAACAACCGACTCGAAAGTTTCCCCTTCTTCTGGTTCTCCGTCAACAGAAAACGATAACTCTGGAAGGACTTCAAAAGAAAGTTATTGAGAAACGTGGAAGTTCAAAAAAAACCTTCTTCAGTAACAGCTTTAGCTGTAGTAGTAGAAGTTGTTATTACAAACTCTTCTTTCTCCACTTCTTCTTCATAGTCAGCACCGTTCTTGTTTATCTAATAAAGTGGTACAATATCAGTTAACGGTATGGTTACACCGACCTCCTCGTAGTAATCTCCTGTTTCAGGTTTTCCATCAACACTAAAGTCAATTTCGGGTAACTCCGATTCTTTAGGCTTGTTTGAAGCCTTTCCCTCTTCTAAATCTGTGAAATCCGTTCCGAAGTTCCCATCCTCGGGCAGTAATCGTGAATTTCTATCTTTAGCTGTAAAAGAAGGAATCAAAAAGTTTCTTTGTCGAAACAGAACCTATAGTTGACTCGTTTTTGGCTGTTCCTAAAGCGCTTCCGAAGATTTCTTCCATACCACTACCAGCAGTAAACTGAGATATGAGTTCAGGATTTGATAAGAGTTTCCCAATAGTTTCCCATCCATTGGGATCTTGTACCAGTTGCATAGCTGTCTGAAATATGTCATCTTCGAGGAAAAACTAGTTCTTGCTACCTGGAAGTTGCTGAAAAACTCCGAGCGTCTAAATTTATCGATTGCTTTATAAATATCAGCACAGCTTAATCTATTGCAAATACCCAAAAACTGAAATAAACCTGTAGACACCTGATGGGGAAAAAGAAGTTTACCTCAGGCAACTCTGGTCCCGGATCCCCAAATTGGCCTTTGGAAGAACCCGAAAGCAAACTGTCAAATATCTTATTAAAATCGAGATCAAGAGGTTTTCCTAAATTGACAATTACTAAAAGTAAACCAGAATCTAAGCTGTACCATTTACTTTGTTTGTTGGATCATGCATAGCCTGATGAGCTTGGGCTTTCTTCTGTTGATCCATCATTTGGAATATTCCAGTCAGTACTCCTTTCTCTCCAAATAAAGTTCTAGCCCATTCTTCGTTTTTTATAGACTTTTTCGAATCTTCAACGAACATATAATGAAACGATGAAGAACGAAGTGTTTACCTGGAATACTCGCCATTGGATCATCCATGCTGAATGATGTTTCAAACTGCTTCTGTTGATCATTCAGAGGAATCGGTTTGACATTTTGTTGAATAGGTGCCTTTAATAATCCTTTACATGTAATAATTGATTCGTTAACACTTACAGCTCGAGCCTGAGGTGTTGGATGCAGATCTGAAACGATCTGGAACAAATTCAAAAAATCTCGGACATATGAGTTTTCTGATATCCTACGCAAAACTCCAGCGAAGCCTGTTGGCTTCAAAGTTTCTAGAAATTAACTTGTAAAAAATGAGAATAGAAAAATACTAAAGGCTTATTAGTTGTTAAAAGAACGCACAAACCTGATTTTTCGACATAATCCTCGGACTGAGCGAGGCTGAACGCCAATTTGGCTGGAGGTTCTGAGATGGGCAGAGCGTTGGTCCACACAACCAGATGGAATAAAATAACATAAAATTTCATCTGTAATAGAGGATAGTGAAGTTAAGAACAAAAGCTCTGATGTATTATTCTGATTAGAGAATCATCACAGTCATATGATATAAATAAGAAGAACAAAGTGTTGCTTTCGGAGATTTTCCCCCTTAACGAAGAAATTCAAGAAAGTTTTGAGAAATGACAAACGAATTGTAAACTATTAGTCACAGGGTTTAAAGCTTCCCTTTTTTTTCTCACTATTTCAAACAAGGAAAAGGTAATTGGAAGGGGAAAATGAAATGACTCACTCTGTGCCCAAGGGCATTTGATCTCCTTCGGCAATAGCGAGACGAAGAAAGTGATATGATGACGTACAAAAACACGTTTCGATTTGTTTTATAAGCTAAATGACAAAAAATAAATAAATAATTAGAGTAAAATGTAATGAAAAGGCTTGAGAACGAAAAACTGTGAAAGAAAGAGTATAATTGCCAATGACTAGGAGATCAATATCTGGTATAGTTGGTGAGAGATGGAAAACCAGCCGGTTTGCTTGAAGCACAAGAAGATTACTAAGGGGAGGATTCAGAAGGAGAAGAAGAAGGAGAGAAAAGCGATGAAGGTTAAGGGAAAAGAACATTTTTGAGGATTGGAGGCAACAAGTGATTGAAAGGGAGAAGAGAACGAGTTGTCAAGCCGGATCATTCTGCAACCAACAAACTTTTATCGCAATATTCTTGCCTTGGCAATATTTTATATATTTATAATAAATGTATTTCCTTAAATGGATAAGAAACCGGTTTCATAACGAAAGTAAAGATTTTTAAATCCCATGGCAAGACATCATAAGATATTCTGACAACCCTGTAATCCAGTTTTATTCCCAAAAGGTTATCCAAGCTTCAGGAGCGTGAACATCCAAAAGGTCAACACGTGAACGGCTCACGTGAAAGGACAAACTTAGAGCACATTCTGTTGGAAGTTTTATACTCTCCGTGATGTGATGCGCCGCTTTGGAGCAAATTTCCATTGATTGAGCTCTAACAACCAACAAGAAAATAGAAGATCATTCTAAAATCAATTAAAGGAGTAGCTTGCAAAAGATAAATTGTCATTTATCGTGTTAAAATCCTTTATAAAACATATGTAGAAGGATGACAAATATGATGAAGAAATGTCATTATTTTGTCAGATTTCTGCCAACTGTCAATTGGCCGACGGCTTTTTGTTTTAAATTACCCTCGGATAGCCTGTTGCTCACTTTACTTTTTAACTTTTCCTCCCTCAATTCATGTTTCTGCTCCTTCCAAGTACGTTTTGCATTTTTTTTCGAGTTCTGCAAATTTGATAATTAAGTTTTTCTTCCCTTTGTTCTTTCCGATAGATATGTCAGTCAGCTACTAGAAAGCTTGCTGATGGATTACAACAGAAACGTTCGACCAGTCAAAAATGCTTCGGACCCGATTCAAGTCAAGTTCGGAGCCAACTTATGTCGTCTGATTGACGTGGTATTCCATGAGTTTAATAAGATTATATAATATGTTTGTTTAAGGATGAAGTAAATCAAGTGTTAACAACGAGTCTCTGGTTAGAAATTGTATTTTCCTAATTTTGACAAATGATTGAGCAATTTCTTGTTTAAGCAATGGAAAGATCGAAAGTTAGTGTGGAATCCTAAAGATTATGGTGGAATAGACAATATTCATATTCCGTCAGATCAAATTTGGATTCCAGATATTGTCCTTTATAACAAGTATTTCATATTCAAGTATTTCACGCCTATGCATCATTTTAAGCGCCGATGGCGAACCACATATCAACCTCGTCAGCTTGGTTCGAGTGGACTCCGGTGGAAATGTTCTCTGGCAACCGCCATCTATTTATAAAAGCGTTTGTCATGTATACAAAATGGAGTTGTTGTGCTGATCAATAGAAAATATAGATAGACATAGAATATTTCCCATATGATCTGCAAACGTGTGAGTTGAAGTTTGGTGGCTGGTCCAACAACGGTAACACATTGGAGATGGAACA